ATAGGATCATAATGTATGCAGTGCGTAACTGCGTAATAAAAAGGGACGGAGGTAGTAAAATTTTCTAATACTAAACCATTTAGGTGATGTTGGAAAAAAACTTATGAAAGCTAAATAGGATCATAATGTATGCCGTGCGTAACTGCGTACTAGACATCACAATATGTTCATAACATATGAAAATTCATAAATAATACTCCCTCCGTCCCACAAAACTTGACCAAAGTTGACTATACATAGATTAATAAAGTAAAAACTGTGTGGTTGAAATTTGTTCAAAGGAGAAAGAATTAATTTTAGCCACATATTTCTTACTTTAAATAGAAATGACAAAGTTTTTTGGGACGGTCAAAAAAGGAAATTTGATCAAGTTTTATGGGACGGAGGGAGTATTCATTTAGATGGGGTAACTAATGTAAGGCTGTGCAAGCAATGGTGTTCTCTGTGTAAGCATATAGTAGTACGTAACAAGTGGCTACTTGGTGCTCTCTGTGTAAGCATAATAGTAGTACGTATTAAGTGGCTACTTGTGTTATCTGTTAGAAAAATTCTAAAGGTACACACTTTTTTGTACACACTTTTACACATGTCTGTCTGTGTAGGCTTTTTTTGTCTATACAGACAAAACCAATTTTGTCAAACTCTGTCTCTATCTGTCAAACTTACTCCATAAATTTATTCTTTGAGTTTGGGGTTAGACTTCCTGACTTATTTCAGACTTTCAATCGGAGCAAAAACCAATCATATGAAATTAGTCCAAATCAGTTTTAAACAATTAAACTGATCGAACTAACCTAAATTTAAATTGACTTATACTACGATTACTTGATGTTTATTTTAATTGGTTGGGATGATAAGAGAAATAATGATGACATTACAGTAATTAGTAATTAGTAAGTTTGTTGTTGAATAAATGATGCTCCTAGCCGACTGCCGACAACGGAGAGCCTAGGACAGCGCCGGGTTGGGTGTCCGGTGCGGTGTGGACTGTGTGGCTTGGGGACGGAGTCAACTTTACATTTGTTTGTACAATGCCCGGTGGCTGTGGAAGCTTGGCGATCTTTGGGATGGCTGGTTCCTGGGTAGCTCTCGAGATCTATGGCTGGACTCGGGCCGGTTCGGGCCTGGGCCCGGCAGGGCCTCGGGCAGGGGCGGATCCAGTGTTGTTCAAGACTATGCACATGAACACCCAAAAAAATCAGTTTTCTTTACCATAAGTACGTCATTTTAGTTTTTTCTAAAAATTTCGAACTGTCGTAGACGCCGGCAGGGTGTTGTCTCCTTCAGACTCTAGTGGCCACCGCACATCTTTGCTCTGCTTCAGCATTCCTGTTGCCGCCGCCCGCCGCCCGACGGTGCTCTATCGTTTGTCGAGAGTTTCATCTCCCTAGTCACGAGCTCCAGATTCCCAGCCTTGGATTTTCTCCATCTCGCGAGTTGCAATGGTTTCCGTCGTCATCAGTCCACCAACGGTACTCTAGTCTCCTTAATCCACGGGATGAAGGTAAACAGTTCCACCATGGCATCCTCTTCTCGCGATCATGCCTGACGCCTCCACTCCACGTTAGTACGTGGTTAGACCTAGTTTTTGTAAATCTAGTACTCCGTATGAAATTTATAAATTCATTTTCTAATTCCCATTTCCCACTAGTCACTACTTGCCTAGTTGCCTTGAAAGTATTGGAATATATGATGTCAGGTTTAGTGGATTGAAAACATTTTATACAAATTGAATGTCCGAACTCTTGATGTCGACAATATAATTTTGCTTCAAGTTTTTGCTCAATATATGGGTGCTTTACTCAACATTTGCTTAATTTTTTGCTTAATTTATCTGTTGAATCCGAGTATGATTTTTGCATAAATAGTTTCTGTTGATTTCAAGGATTTATTGAGAAAAATTTACTTCATTTATGTAAGTATTACTAATTAATATCAATTCTAAAAAGAGCCAATAGCAATTCTTAATTCTAAATTTTAAAGTAACTTTGAACACCCAAATTGCAAGTGCTAGATCCGCCACTGGCCTCGGGCCAGAAAATTGGGTCACGAGCCCGAACCACCGGTGGCCGGTTCCGGTTCCGGGCCAAACCGGGCCGGGCCGGTCCATTTTTTTTTTGTTCTCCTATTTAACCCCCTCCCCCTCCCCCTCAACCCCAAACCACCCCAAACCACCTCAAATGGCCCAAAATACCTAATCCAACCCAAAACTTAAAAAAAATCCAAAAAAAAAAATAATAAATTCCAGCCCAGACCGGGCCCGAACCGGGCGGGCCGGTTCGCCTAAAGCAGGGCCCAAGCCCGGACCGCCCATCACCCGGGCCGGGCCAAACCGAACCGCTGGACCCACCGGGCCCCGGGCCGGGCCGGGCCGGGCCAAACAGTAACCGGGCCGGTTCCGGGCGGGCCGCCCGGCCCGAGTCCACCCCTATCGAGATCTTTCTTAGAATGGCTTCAGGAAATTTTTAAAGTAAAGAAAGAGGAAGAGTTGGCGGCTGTGGGCTGGGGATGCTGGGGTCTGTGGGCTGAGAGGACATAAGGGTATGGCAGGGAGAGTTTCTCGCTCCCAGGCAGTTCATGCACAAAGCCAAATCCTTTGTAGAGAGCTGGAGACATGAACAACAGAAAGGCAGTATGGCTGGGATGAGGTTGGAAGGGGGTAGGCCGAGGTGGTGCAGACCTGCTAAGGGCTGGCTGAAGGTTGCGGTTTGGGCTGGGTGATACGCAATGATGTTGGAGATTTTTTGGCAGGGGGCGCTACACCTGGGAGTGGCTGCTATAATCCTTTACAAGTAGAATTATTAGGCATTCGTGAAGCTTTAAGTTGGTTCAAGGATCATAATTGGGATTGCATTGAAGTAGAATCAGATTTGAGTTGGTCGTCCAAGGGTCTACTAGCGGAGGACATTAGAGTGTTGAGCTCAGAGTTTACTAATATATCTTTTTCTTTTATTAGGCGTTCAGCGAACTCAGTTGCTCATAAATTAGCTAGAGCGGCGGGTTCTATATCTGTTAGCCAGATTTGGTTATCTTTTCCTCCGAGTTGTATTTTTGAGGGCTAAGTCTGAAAAACCGAAAACCGAATCAAATTCAACCGAACCGCAACCAAATAAAACCGAAACCGAATGTAAAAAACCGAACCGAACCGTAGTTGTTTGGTTCGGTTTTGGTTGTAACCCTTCAAAACCGAACCGAACTAACCGAACTAATTAATATATGAAATTTTATTTGTTAATTTTTAAGCGTTAATCCTAATATCATCAATAATCTTTGATTTTCTTGTGCTAGAGAAATAATGTTTGTGTTATGTTTAGTTTAGTTTAGTTTATAAATGCATTTACAAATTCATTGCTCATAATAATGTAGCTATATTGATCGATTATGTCTTTTATGTATGTATGTTGTAATTTGTTGCATGATTATTGTTTTTAGGGGTAATTTGAGTTTGCACCCCAAAGTATTGTCTAAATTGGACTTTGCATCCCGTTTTTAAAGCTCTTTGTTTTTGCACCCCAACCCCATATGAAAAGACAAAAATGCCCCTCCATTAACAATTTTGTTGACCTTCAACATATTCCTGATTGAGGGCATTTTTGTCTTTTCGTATGGGGTTGGGGTGCAAAAACAAAGATTTTTAAAAACGGGGTGCAAAGTCCAATTTAGATAATAATATGGGGTGCAAACTCAAATTACTCCTTGTTTTTACTAGTTATTAGTAGTAATTAAATTTTATTTTTATGTAACGTACATTTTTTATATTGATAAACAAATAAATATTCATCTCAGCTATATCACATAGGATGTATGTATTCATAAACTTTTTTCAAACTAGTCACAAACAATGTAAATTAAGAATATATACACTTATATCTCTCCCACATACTCATATAATTCAAGACATATTTATTTATTCTTATTTTTACTTTATTTATTCTAGTATGCTTGCATTTTTTATGTACTATGTTTGATCCCTCCAACAATCAAACCGAACTTTTTTTATGTATTTGTCATTTAAATCAAATGACAAATTTTGAGTAAAAAACCGAAAGAACCGAAACCAAACCGAAACAAACTGAACCAATCAAACCGTGGTTCCGAATTTTGGAGTGCAAAACTGAACCGAAACCAAACTGAACTTTTACTTTGGTTCCGTATTTGGTTTTAGGTCAAAACCGAACCGAAAGAACCGAACTCACCTAGTGCTGGACTCGGGCCGGTTCGGGCCCGGTTCGGGTCTGGGCCCGGCCGGGCCTCGGGCCAGGAAAGGGAGGCCCGAGCCCGAACCGCCGGTGGCCGGTTCCGGTCCCGGTTCCGGGCCAAACCGGGCCGGGCCGGGCCGGGCCGGGCCGAACCGGCCCACTTAATTTTTTTTTTTTTTGTTCTCCTATTTAATCCCCTCCCCCTCAACCCCAAACCATCCCAAACCACCTCAAATGGCCCAAAATACCTAATCCAACCTAAAACTTAAAAAAATTTCAAAAAAAAAAAATAAAAAATAAAATCCGGCCCGGACCGGGCCCGAACTGGCCGGGCCGGTTCACCAAAACCTGGGCCCGGGCCCGAACCGCCCAGCAGCCGGGCCGGGCCGAACCGAACCGGTGGACCCACCGGGCCCCGGGCCGGGCCGGGCCAAACAGTAACCGGGCCGGGCCGGTTCCGGGCCGGGCCGCCCGGCCCGAGTCCAGCACTAAACTCACCCCTATTTTTGATGCTTTGACCTTTGATTTCATTAATGACAATTAAGTTTGTTGCTGTAAAAAAAAATGACACTCCTAGGCTCCTAGCCATTGATTCTCGGTCCTTAGTCCTAACTAAGGGACACCCGGTTATATTCTTCAACACCAATCCTCTGAACGGTCATAAACAACATACAAGATCGCCAACAAATTAGTACAGTCCAGTTTCGTGATCTACCGAAATGAAATCAAACCAACCGGTTTTTGACTTTTTGTTCAATTCTCCATTTCTCCTATACATTAACTTATTTTGTAAGTAAAAAACTGATCTACTGCTAAAACAGCCCTTGGTTAATACTGATATGTACAATTCTCATTCTCGGAGACCATCTTTAGATAATTAAAAAAAAGGCCACTACATCGTAGTATCCTACGACTATAGCTTTTTAGACACTGCATATTATGATTATTGTTCTTTCGTTTATGGAATTTAAATCTGTAGAGCATATACAGTGTAAATCTATTCAATTTATTCAACAAATCTAGCCACTTAACTTTTAAAAGATCTCAAACCATTCTGTCCAGTCTGTGAACCCATTTTTTGCACACCAAATGCGCTCACATGCATTCAGCTCTCTCAACTACTGGTCTGTATGCAAAAAAAGGAACAAAAGTGTGCAAAACAAGTTGTACATAAATATCATCATCATAATCAGTAATCACTGTACAGTTTGATAAAGGCCTTAAGAGCCCAAACATATACACTGAACAAAACTGTATGAATGACGTAATGATATGTGAATCTACCATGCACCAAAATGTTAACTATAGTTATCTATCTGGTAAGCCCAGCCATGTTTATTCAAAAATGCCTGCACTGCTTCTTTAATGGCCAAATTTGGAGCCAATTGAGATGCAGATAGAGATCTTGAAGTCATCGGATCAAATCCCCCCACCTAAACTTGTTCCAAAACATATGATAAATATATCATACCTAAACTTGTTCCAAAACATATGATAAATATATCATATACAGAAAGTAACAGAATATGTAAGATATTTGAATCCAATGTCAGGAATGATCACCTTCTCCAAATGTTCAAGGATCTTCGACCGCTCGTACGTGATCCCGCATGGAGTAATCACAGGGTCACGTAAAATGTCAAGTGTTATCTTACAACATAAGTAATCGGGCACCTGGAAATGTTGTATATCCCACTTTAGTTGATTGTCTTATAAGGTGTGGTTGGGAATAAAAAAAATGAAAGCTACATGAAAATAAAGAACTAGTCGCCCATAGCAGAATCGGGCTGCTGCTAGGAGGAATTTTAGTATTTGGCCTTGCTGGGGACGCAGAAACTCACTCCTAAATGGAACCTCAATGGTGTAATCAACTAATAGAATTATAGAACCTCTCTATATACTACCCAAGAGTCTTCAAGAACAACTAATAGAGTCCTACCATTACATTATTCATATTAGCAATGTCAACTAAAAAGAACGCAAATAATAAGAAACTAGTATTTCTTACTACGTATTACTAATAAGAAACTAGTATTGCTGATTACTATAGGAAACTAATTACACTAATGAATTACATTCATAATTCTAGTACTGATATCCTACAACTGCCCATAACTGTAATCGTCACATCTTGAGGATGCTTCTAGGGTGAGCTGGGCATACTTTCACTGGTACCATGATTGGAGCAATGGTTGCTTTTAGGCACCCACCTACTAAATGGCTTGGGAAGCCGGTTTGAAGATGATTTGGGCCCATTTGTTCACTTTACTATTGTTTAGGTTGGCCTGGACTTGTGGGGTGGTTTGAGTATCCCACATTACGGTTATAACTGGCTTGAGTTTTATAAACATTTGCAAGGTAAATAGCATCTTCTGAAGATCATATTAGGTTGAATTAGATTGAGATGAACAAGAAAAAACACTGGTAAAATACTCACATCATCTGGGGTGTCATCCTCTGCTGCTTTCCTGAACACACCATTTAAAGCAGCAAGTTGCTTAGAAAAATATTCATTCTTTTCATCTACAAAACCTTCCATGCGTGACATGTCAAGTAAATGTTTCTCCTTAAGAGCTGTCTCACAGGATTCTCTGAGGAGAAATGGAAGTAGAAACAATTAACCTATAGTTGCAGAAAACCTTCACGGGATAGATTAGTAACAGAAGAGGGTAAGATTACTTCAGTTTATAGAGTTCAGAAGAACGTAAAGTTGACTCGTGTTCCCATTCCAAATATTTGGCTTTCGCAAGCTCCTGCCATATCTCCTCTACCATGTAACTCTTGGGATTTGCACCTCTTCCAAGATCCAATGCCTACAACCAATTGAGTGAGAAAATTAGAGACTTATAGGCACATGAGATATATTCAATCATCATCCTTCTCTATAATCATCCATTATCCACATTCATAATTCTTCTCTACAATACTAATCATCTAAAAGGACACAATACCATAGCTAATAATGTCAGTTTGTGCAACTGAATGACTGAACCTTAAACAGCTTTCTCAAGCTATTCTAATCTAAGACGGTTCATTTTGTTAGCCAAAGAGTAAAGAGGGAACAATGATGTTAATGGTTATAGTGGGTAATTTGATCGACTGCCTCTATTTCTTCCCAAATGTTAACCAAACAACACTCTTGATTGATTCTCTTATGAAAATTAAGGATTTAATCAATTGAGCCAGGGAGAACAGGCCATACTTTTTCCAATTCTCTGACTCCTTCAGAAAACGATTGTTCCCTTAGCAAAGCAAGGCCAAGCATGTAGTGTGCCTGTAATTCAAACGCATCCTTCATTAAGATTAGATGAAATACGGAGTATTCCTTTTGGCAAACCAAGTAACACAGCAATACACAAATTCAACTCAATGTTATTTGTAATCAAAGAAATCCAAGGATTTATTACATAGAAATAGTAAATATTCAGGTCTGTCATTTCATTTTTGGAGTTCTCTTGCTATGGGAGATTAAGCGTTAAATCACTGAAACTGGAAGGTGTATATACAATGCTCAGCCCAAGTTCTTTTTTGAATACTCAGTCCTTTCTATAATAAGATGACAAATATATACCCAAATAGATTTCAAGAATTCTCTTTTTTAAATGAGATTTCAAGAATTTTAGGTATTAAAAGTAACAAACAAAAGTGAAATATTTACAGGCAAACGCACCTTACAAGAATTACAATCGAGCTGAATTGCTCTCCTGCAATCCTCTTCCAATCTTGTCCAATCACTATACGGAAGCAAGAGTAAACTTTACTCAGTAAAGGACAATAGTTCGGAATAATTACAAGTTCAAATACCATACTTACTTCCGCTTGAGATGGCACAGGGCACGATTAGTCCAATATACAGCAACATTGGGGCACAAGGTAATCGCCTACCAATTTCGGGGATAGCGGCGTTACTATCAAAATCGGGTCCGAAAGAAGTCATCAAAAGAAAGGAGTAGGCATCGGAAATGACAATTACCTCTGTATACGCATCGATGGCGGCTCCGTATCGACGTTTCTGAAAGTAAGTGTTGCCGTTTTGCCTCAGCTGTTCGGCTTGTTTGGCCGCCGCCGTGGCAGCCCCGTGCGGTGACATTTCTAGTCCAAGATAATGCTCGGAAAACGAACACCCCTCTCTATCTCTTTGTCAGGCTCCGCCTCCCGGTGTATGGGATAGATTGAGAAGTTGGGAGTAGAATCTCTGCTTAGAAAAAATTTGAAAGTCTTGGTCTGCAGGCGGGGAAGGGGATGCGTTTCTTCACAGACTTTCCAGATTGGATTCTACGATAACAAAAATTGAGACCGATAAGCAAGGGGAAGAGGTGGCTTGAACAACCTCAAATGGACCAACATGCCCTCGACAGCATTCAGTTTTTAATAGAGGGAGGGTAAAAGTTAAAATAAGGGTTAATTTGAGTTTACACCTCATTTAATTGTACAAATTGGATTTTACACTCTGTTTTTAAAAAATATTGTTTTGCACCCGGATTGAATATGAAAAGACAAAAGTGTTCATCCATTAACAATTGTGTTGATGTTTAACCTATTTCTGATTGAGGGCATTTTATCTTTTCACATGGGATTGAGGTGCATAAACAAATATTTTTTAAAACGAGGTACAAAGTTCAAATGATATGCAAACTCAAATTACTCCTTAAAATGATATGCAAACTCAAATTACTTCTTAAAATAAACTTGTTGTTTTTATTTTGGGTGAAAATGTGAAATTGAAAGAATTTTCCCAACTATTAACAATTGAATGCTATGTGTGTCTTATACACTTCCTTTTGTATGACATTCTATTTAAACTTTTCTCAAAAATGATTGATAAAAATGTAATTTGATAATTATATTTAAAAATATGATTTGGTAATCTTGAAAAACTCTTAAATCTTTACATTTCGTGCTTGATAATTATCTCAAAATACAAATGCATTTTTCTTTACCTCTTTCTTTTACTTGTCATTGTACTTGTCAAATGCTTCCAAGTACTGACCTCCCCTTCACGGGGGAGGCCACCTCACAGTTTCAGGTAGGGGCTAAAGCTTGCTATCATCGCCCGTTGCTTCGGGGAGCTCAAGGAGAGAAGACGTGGTTCATGCTTCCTCCGTATCTGTTTTCAAAACAATATTATTAAATGCTCATGGATATTATTTCCCAAATAATTATTTGGGGCTTGTATGCCCGTGTTTGCCACGTGTGGCTCGATTGCTTGTATTAATGTTTCCGCTGCTTAATTAAATATTTTACTTTATGATTGTTTATGGATGTACTATTGTGAATGGTATTCAAGACGCCTTGTATGGTATGGATGAGTTGGACTGCGGTTGACTATTCGTACTGTACGGCGGGTTGTTGACGTGTCCGGGTAGGTCCGGGGCGTGACAAGAGTTCCCGAGAGTTTCGCCCCACTACCTTATCTGCGGTCCTATGTACGTCCGCTAGTCGGTGTACACTCGGTACTCGGACAGATTTCAGCACGGAACCAGTTTACCCCAGCGGGATTCCCGAGTTTTCTGGGAGTTATGTCCCCCCCCCCCCCTCTTTTTTCGGGGGAAATTTTCATCATCGGCTTATTGGTAGAATTTCTTCAAGTGTTCAACGTTCCAGACACCAGCGGGGTTACCCCCTAAGGTTGAGAGGACGAACGTCCCGTGGTTGGACCTCCGCTGGACCCTGTACGGTCCTTCCTAGTTCTTTTCCATCTTGCCACCTTCGAACAGTTTGCTCTTTTCTCTTTTTCGTAGGACAAGGTCGCCGGTGTCAATTTCACGAGTTCTCACCGCCTTATTGAAATATCTCTGTGTAGCCCGGTGGTATTCCTCCATTCCACGGGCCGCCAGGTCTCTACGTTCTTCAATGAAGTGGAGTTCTGCCCGTAAGGTGGCCTCGTTGTCTTCCGGTTGGAAGTAGGGGTGGGCGCGGTCCGGTTCGGTCCAATATTTGGCCAAACTCGTACCCGTACCGTTACTATTCAAACGGTTCGGTTCGGTTTGGTCTTATACCTAAACCCGTTCGGTACGGTTCTATTTTCAAACGGGAGGGTACCATGCCTTACCAATACAAAACAATGCCATTTTTCCCCAAGTGTTTAAGGGGAAATTAAAGTTTAGTCATCCTCCAAAAATCCACATAACTTATCAATTTTCATACTCAATCCGTCCCAAATTGATATGCAAAGTCAATACTTTTTTGTCAACCAATGTTAAAGTTAAATCCTCTTTATTGATAATTAATTTAATTTTTAACAATTAAAATTTATATATTTAGAAACTACATTAAATCTCTTCAAAGTTGCAAACTCGAAATTAAATATAATTAAAAATTGACATCCTAATTAAGTGAATAAAATGAAGCTCTTTGACCAAGAAAAGTTAATTTTGCAAATCAATTTGGAGTGGAGGGAGTATTACATGATTACTAAATTTCAGATAAACTATAACAGTACAAATTCAAATAATTAAACCATACATTGGTCGGGTTCCAGACTTCATATGAATTAGCAAAGGCGGTGAAAGTGTGAAGGCACTAGTCAAAGTAATGGTATAAATGTAAATTTAAATAATTAAATCATACTTCGGTCTGGTTCGGTCCGGTACCGGTTCTCATTTTATGAGAACCGTTCATGGCATTGTTTAGAACCGGTACGGTACGGTTCGGGACAAAAAATTGAGATCCATTTCAAACCCGTTTTTCGGTCCGATACCATACCGGTTCGGTTCGGTACCATGCCGGTTCGGTATTTTTGCCCACCCCTAGTTGGAAGTGCTTTGTGCGGTGTGTGGGTACCAGCACTTCCGTTGGTACCTTGGCTTGGAAACCATAGGCCAAGGCGAAAGACGTCTCCTCGGTAGCAGTCCTCGGGGTCGTCCTGTACATCCACAGGACGTAATTGAGTTGCTCTGGCCAGGTGGATGAGTAATCTTCTAGCTTCTTCTTGATGCCATCCATGATGGTGCGATTCATGTTCTCCACCTGGCCGTTGGCCTGTGGGTAAGCGACCGAAGCCTTGGAGTGCCGGATTCCCCATTTTGCTAAGTATGATTCGAAACCCTTGCCGACGAACTGCCGTCCGTTATCTTTAATAATCTGCACTGGGATTCCGAATCGGCATATGACGTTCTGCCAGACGAAGCGTTGGCATTGATATTCTGTTATGGTGGCCAGTGGCTCAGCCTCTACCCACTTGGTGAAGTCGTCGATGGCCACGATGATGAACTTTCGCCCACCAGTCGTCTTTGATAGAGACCCCAGCAAGTCTATCCCCCACCTGGCAAAAGGCAAGGCGATGGTCATCGGGGTATAAAAACTCGTTGGACGTCCCGGAATTGTTGCATATTGCTAGCATATCGCACACTTCAGAGTCTGGTTGAAGCAATCTCGTTGTATGGTGGGCCAGTAATAGCCCTGCAGGATGATCTTCCGGGCTAGGGTCTGCGGCCCTTGATGACTCGAGCAGATCCCTTCGTGAATTTCCTCTAGGACTACTGCGGCTAGGCTCGACGTTAAGCACCTCAAGTAAGGCCCGTCGAACGTCTTCTTGTAGAGTTGCCCGTCAATGAGCTCAAAATTGGGAGCACGTCTCCTGATCCATGCTGCCTTCCCCGTGCTGCCATCAGCCGGAGGCTCGAGGAGGGTTCCATCTCTGAGGTAGTCCGCGATCTCCTTCAACCAGTCTGGTTCGGCGAAGGAGATGACTTCTACTTGGATTGTCTCCGTTGCTGACATCAGGAGCGTCTCATGCCTGACAAACCCTTTGATGTGTCGGGGGATGCTCGTCGCCAAATCATCAGATGGAGGGTTGCCGAGTTTGGACAAGATATCAGCCTCGGCGTTCTCTACCCGGGGTACTTGGTCAATAATCACCTGCTCGAACTGCGCGATCTGTTCTTCCGCCAGTTCCTTGTAAACCTTCATCCTCTCCAAGGTTTCAGCTGCCCCGTTCATCTGGGTAACTACCAGCTGGCTATCCATTCTCACGTTCAGACGAGCTGCTCCGAGGGCCTTTGCGCATTTCAATCCTGCAATGAGTGCCTCGTACTCAGCCTCGTTGTTGGTGACTTTGAACTCGAACTTCATGGAGTAGTATGTCTTGAAACCTTCGGGAGAGGTGATCACCGCTCGCCCGCCACAACCCCACGCACTCGAGGCCCCATCAATGTACATCTCCCACCAGTTGTCGAAGTCGTTGTCCTGGGAGCCGTCCTCGGTGCGCGCGGTACATTTGGCGATGAAATCTGCCAATGACTATCCCGTGATCGTCGGCCTCGGCTTGAATTCCACGTTGTATTGGCTGATCATTAGGGAACACTTGGTGATTCTACCGCTGGCCATTGGATTCCTGAGGACCGTGGCAAGGGGCTGCGTGGTGTAGATCGTGACTGGATGGGCTTGGAAGTATGGCGCCAAGCGTTTAATGGATGCTATCAAAGCGAGGACTGTCTTCTCCATCAAAGTGTATATGGTCTCTGGGCTGTTCAGCGCCTTGCTCACAAAATATATCGACCGCTGAACGTCCTTATCTTCTTTCAGCAGCACGGAGCTTACTGCCAAGTCCGCCACTGCTAGGTACATGTACAACTGCTCTGCTCCCCTGGGTCCGCCTTTGTGAGGACTAGCGGAGAGGAGAGGTATGCCTTTAAATCTTCGAAGGCCGCCTGGCATTCTTGGGTCCATTCGAAGGGATTCGCCTTCTTCATGATCCAGAAGAAAGGAATGGCCTTGTCGGCCAGCTTCGACATGAAACGGCTCAGTGCTGCCAGACGTCCAATTAGTCTCTGCACCTTTGGGGTTTATTCCTTCAACCTATGGGTCCAACACGTAAGCCCAAAGGTTTCAAGTGGAGTAGTTATGTGTGTATGAGTAACTAACCCAACAAGCAAATAAGATGGACTAAGAAAAGGTTAATAGCAAGTAAAGGTTCGGAGATTATTAATGGTAAATAACGCCCCGATACAATGTCTTGTTAAGGCCGAAGGCCGTTCGTCTAAACTGCAGAGGAAGAGCTGCGAGTTCTAGGCTAAGTGCTGATAATAAGCTGGAACGCTAAGGGTCATAAGTTGCCAACCCCTTACAATGAAATAAATCCTACTATTTATACCACCAATGGGCACTTGGCCATGCTGATGTGGAGGGCTATGAGTGGTTGATGCCCCAACCACCGAATCTCCAGCATTAAATGCGCTTCCCGCCAGAATATGGGTTTCCCCGCCTAATCTGTGGAGACGGACGTCCAGTTGGGCCTGGGGCCTGCTCCTGGTGATACTGCAAAGGGTTGTGGGCCGTTCGTGTTCCGCCCCTTGGTAGAATTTGTTGTATAGTTTGTAATGGACCTCACGTGGTTGTGGTCCGTGGGTGACGACATTCGTCGCCTCACCCTTGGGCTTCTGTGCCACGATACATTCTCATCCTTGGCTAGACGCTCATCGAGGTAAGCCACCTTATGGGCCAAGACGTCCATCCGATATGAGGGTAATGGACCGATCCTTTAATTGGGCCATTAACCCAACAACGTTACACAAACACCCCCTTGAAATTTTGCAAGTAATTCCTTATATAAGGCAAATGATAGTTTTTTGTTGAAAGATTACAAAGGATAATTTAGGGAAAATGTGCAAAATTATCTAGTATGAAATCTAGATAATTTCCCGGTGGCAAAAATCTTGTACACCGGGTGGCAAAAATCTTGTACAAAATTAAGGTGGCAAAGGATAATTTTCAAAATTAAGGTGCAAAATTATCTAGTACAAAATTTTCGGGTGCAAGATTATCGGGATAATCTTGTATAAAAGATTTCAAAAAAGGTCAAATAAGCCCTTATTTAGGAAGTTCTGTCCGGCCGTCGTCATTTGGGGTGGTTCCCGGTGGAATGTTTCGATGAATATTTTTGAGAATCTTATTCATCAAGTCTAGTTTGCTCATACCAAATTTCAGCTAAAAATTCAATCGGGAAGGCATTCAAATGAATTCTTGAAGATAACTGCGCTTTGAACTGCGCAGTTATTTTCAAGAATTCATTTGAATGCCTTCCCGATTGAAGTTTTAGCTGAAATTTGGTATGAGTAAACTAGACTTAATGAATAAGATGCTCAAAAAAATTCATCAAAAAATTCCATCGGGAACCACTCCAAATGGCGACGGCCGGACAAAGCCTCCTAAATAAGGGCTTATTTGACCTTTTTTGGTTAGTACATGGGCCTATTTGCACCTTTTCCCGATAATTTATTATACTAGTATGAAATTTTCTACTACTACAATTTTTAAAAATTTTGAAAAAGATTGATTAAGTCATAGAGCTCATTTGATGACTCTGTTTTTCGGCTTATCAGACTTATCAACAATTATTTTCACCAAAAATATATTTTGACTTCGCACGCTGAATTGTGTATTAATAAGAAAAAATAAGATTGGAGTTACTTTTTCTAGTTGTATTGACCGGAGTTACTGTAGAGGATCATTATAACTATTTTTACATATAAATTATTCTTTATATTATTAAAACTACTTTAGATACTCCCTCCGTCTCATTTTATCTGTCTTACTTTCATTTTTGGGTTGTCCCAAAATAAGCGTCATCTTTCCCTTTTTGGAAAGAAATATGTGATACACAACATTTTGCTTTACTATACTCAAATCTCAACCACAACTTTTACCTTTTCAACTAGTTTATTAAAAATTGTGCCAAAACCAAAGGAGACATATAAAATGGGACGGAGGTGGTACTTTTTTCCTAAATTAGCAAAAACTTCATAAAATCCGGCAGAATCAACCAATTCAACCAATTTCAGAATTATCTAACGAGCTCATATTTTTTTTTGCTAGATAATTTCATAATGTTAGGATGTTTTTATTTGGACCGTATTTTGCTGATCTTGTCTGGTCTTATCTGTGTAAGTCTGGTCTGGCCTAGTCTGATTAAGTCAAGTCTGGTCTGCTTAAGTCTGATTTGGTCAGGTCTAGTTTGCTTAAGTCAAGTCTAGTCTGGTCTGCTTAAGTCTGATTTGGTCTGATAATCGTCTGGTCTCGGTGTATTTTATAGCTACGAAAGTCAAATCCGGTCTAGTCAGTTTAAGTATGATCTGATCTGGTCTGATCTGTTTACATTTGGTCTAGTTTGAATTACTTAAGTCTAGTCTGGTCTGATCTGATTTGGGATAATAAACTATTGATGTAAAAACATCCTTATCATTGTTTATGACTCCGTATAATAAAAGGACCATTCTTGATGTACACAACTTGTACACAAAATGTGTACACTGCCTGTGTACACAGACAATTTGACATGAAATCCTGCCTCTTTTAAACGAATTACCTGTGTACACAGGCAACTAGGGGGTTTTGTGTACAATTTGTGTACAAGTCATGTACACTAAGCATTTTAAAAATACATTTATTTTTTCTCCAAAATTAACACCGACTTCTCTTTCTATAGGGACAGGTTGCAGTGTTGCACTCGGTTTGTGATCGCGTTGAATAAACACGTCTTTAGGCAACTACAACCTCAGTGCCTCGTAGTCCAACTCCTAAACTAACCCTACCTTCCAAAATCTCATCCGTCCGTTTTCTCTATAAATAAATACCCACCCTTTCTCGGACAGAGCAACCACCATTCCTCCATTCTCCAAATTGCCCAATCAGGACCACCATAACCGGCGGGCGATTCTCAGCCACCGTAGACGGCCGCCCACAATGTCCCCGTCTTATCTCCTCCTCCTCATCGGAGCTCTCCTGATTTCACCCGCCCTCTCTCTAACTTGCACCTCGAAGATCACAAATGTGTACGCTAACTGTACGGTCCTCCCCACCCTCGGCGCCATCCTCCACTGGAACTACACCGCGGCCAACTCCACCCTCTCCTTCACCTTCGGCGTAAATACCACGAAAGGGCAATGGTCCGCCTTTGGCATCAACGCCGGCAAGGGAACCGGCATGAACGGCGCGTTTGCCTTCGTCGCTATAAATCCGAAATCGGGAAATCTCACCGTGAAACAGTACAATCTCACCTTCAATTCCGGAGGCGGCATAACCGAGCAGCCTCTGCCGTGGACCGTTCGGAACGCCTCAGCGGTGGCGGGATCCGACGACGCCGTGTGGATTTCCGCCACGGTAAGTAAACTGCCGGCGCTGTCGCAGTTAAACACCCTGTGGCAGGTGGGCCCGTTGGCTGCCGGCGATGCTCCAGCGAGGCATCCAATGGGATCGGATAATATGGGGGCTATAACCACATTGCAGTTGACTGGCGGGAAGAGCGTCGCTCCGGGGGTTTCACCTTCCCCTGCTCCCGCCGGTGATTCCGGAAGTGTCGGACAAAACGCGCCGCCTGTCACGCCGGTGCAGAGCCCAGGGAATGCCACCGGCAGCTCCTCCGCGAGCTGGAAGAGCACTGCAAATCTGTACCCTTTGCTTTTAGTTTTCGGAATTTTTGGATTAGTGCTTTGATTTCGTGTGGTTTGATTGTATTGACTTTTTTCTGTTCGTACACTTTCTAAAATATTCATACTGCTCTGATCGGAATCATATCAGTATTAGAAATTGAGAACAGAGAGGATGCACACACGTTTTTAATTCATGTTTGATTTTGCTAATTAATTTCAATATTGTCATTATTCAAAAAATTAATTGTTAACACAAGAGTGATTACTATCATAGTCTCATTTATTCCTTTCATCCCGGAATGAAATTCTATGTTTGACCTATAAATACATCATAGTATTATTTCATTACCAAAAGACTTGCTCATATTTAAAACTTTGATCAATCATACGAAGTATATATTTATTGGAAATTATTTATAATATAAAAATGATATTATAAAAATTTATAATTTCCATAATATTGTACTAATCAAAATCATGATATAAATTTTAAGATTTGACTGTATTTTGGGACAAAAGTAGTACTCATATTATGTAAGATGTTTTTTTGTACTTTCTATGTATACTCTTGCATTATATCTAATCAAGTCAAAATTGAGTAAAAAGTAAGGGTAATTGTGACTTTTTTTATTAAAAATGGTTTTAACATTTTATATTATAGAAATAAGAACTTCTTTTTACGTAGTATAAAAGAAAGTGAGAACTTTTTTTCGGAAGAGGGGTATGTGACACTGAACTTGTTGAATTTGTAGCAATTACCATAAAATAAAATTATAAACATTCTAACACAAACATATTAATATACACACGTGTTTAAAATATTTTGAGTGATGATGAAATAAAGAATGCGTAAATAACACCCCCTCTAATAAATTCCCATTTCCCAGTTTATGATAAAATTTTATTTCCAATTTCTAATTTTACGATTATTTTTCATCAAACCAAGTGAAAAGTAATCAAACATTTTTAGAATATTCTTTCGTGTAAATGAAACTCTAAGTAAGGATGATGTAAATTTGTTTTTGCGGAATGAATTTGACTTGAACTTCATTCTAGTCTTGTGTGACATTTATTAACGTTATGAATAGTCAATGAATCAATATTTGATACCGACTATAACTCTATAAGATTCGTTAGTCAAAAAATGAGTCGGAGTGATTTTGGAGTTTGAAATATATGACAAAACGTTTACTTTTAATCCATGAATTGCCATCTTAGGGTATAAGGTGGACATAAAAATGGATACAATACTTATGTCATTGTAAAATTAGAAATATGACATTTATTTTGGGATAACCTAAAAAGGAAAACAGGATAACCATAATACATAATACTTTTGAATGAAATGCAAGTTTGATTTAGATATGAAATAATTATAACTTCAAATAAAAGAATAATAATAAACAAAACATATATTAATTAGTTTAATGATTAAAATGGTATTTCTTTTGTGATTGTCAAAAAAGGAAGTTAGCACTATGCCATTGTCTAAGAGTTCACACTTGCAACTGTGGGCTATGTTGCACAGACACGGATCGCCGATACGCGAATACGGGTACGGCAATACGACAATTTACAAAGGATACGCATCGGGGTATCGATATCGGATATGTATCGGATACGCAGATACAGTATCAGAGTGAAGTATCGGTGCAACATAGATTGTGGGTGGTAAAAACAATACTCATTCAATTATTCAAACTATATAAGTCAAGACAAATTTCGTACGCGTTTAAAAGTAGTCAAATTATGTGGTACCCTTGACATTAGAATATTAGGATGTTTTCTTTTGGACTGTTTTCAGTCCGAGACCAGACTAGACCAGACTAGACCAGACCAGATCAGACCAGACTTCCATAGTTCTAAAATACATAGGGACCAGACGTTTACCGGTCCAGACCAGACCGGTTCAAACCAGACCAGACCAGATCAGACCAGCAAATTTCAGTCCAAAAGAAAACATCTTTATTACCTCCACCTTTAACATTAGTACAACAACAAGATCTTAGGAGGACAAAGGGGGTGTGATTTAATGATTTTAATATTAACAAATACTCCGTAATAAGATTATAACTTGGGACAAATAAAATGTACAGTGTCATTTATTTGTTTGTGAACTATTGTAACACACCCTTAAAACAACAAAGTCAAATGTATCGGGTCATGCCATCAAAGGATGAGGTTCAACGCATAAAGAAGTTGAGAACATTTCCTCTAAAAAAAGATAAGTTGAGAACAAATTTATTGTGCAATGATGAGTTGGTGTACTGCTACAGCGTATACCAAAATGGGGATGACAAATCTAAAGTGGGTTTATTAATCTCATGAACCAATCTTTCGTTTCGGAGACTTTACTTTCCTCTAGAGCAAATTAGAGTGTCTTGCTGTTTTACGATCGTTTCATAAAAAAATCAAGTGAGATATGTTTGAATCCACTATTTCACCAATCTCGAGGTCGTCCTTGTCACTCTGCTGCCGTTTGATGCACAAGGTACCCTACCGTGTTGCAGAGGATCTCCATCCTTTCTATACTCCGTAGTATTTTAATTCAAGCATTCTATTGGATAATAAGTAGAATAAATGTGAGTGCACGCATTTGAATTTGTTGAATATGACTATTTAAACTTGGTTCATATATTTCTTAATTTATTTTACTAATGAGTATATCTTTTATAATATATATAACATGATCATTCCACTAAGTATGTTTTTATTTGGATTTATACAGATCAGCAAAATTTCCATAATTACAAAATCCACAAAGACAATACCATCAATCAAATCAAACTAGAGAGACCGCAAAAACATTGTAAGCACTTTCAATCAAAATTTCAATAATTCCAGTGAATTAAGTTCATTCATCAAATTTCGGTGTTTTAAATGGGTTCTTAGTTGCCTTTCATGTCATGATGTCAATAATCTTTTTCCAATTAATTGACACACTACTTGCTTAGTTTATTTAACAAATAACCAACTTTACCAAGCTTTTCCTTTTTCTAGTCAGATAATTGTTAGATTCAGCCATATAATATAATATCTCCCATGCACGTAGTTTGGAACTGTTTCGAAATAAAATAAAATAAACTGTACAAACAATTACTAGCCCTGGTATTCTCTTTAATGAAATTGATTCACATTTACTTTCCTTTTATAATACTACGTATAATAATAAAACGTAGAAATAATTAGTCGGTGCGCAAAGTTGGACGCAAAAGACACCAGCAATTGATAGTTTGGAGAAACAAAATTGTCCACAAATCACAAATGGAAATGACCCAATTTTCATAGATGCAAGTTGACGCCACTCCATTAATGTGGATCCATTATGCGTTTGGTCAGGGGTGGAGACAGGGAGGGACTGGAGGTGGCCACGGCCCCTGCAAGAAAAAAAATTCTTAAGTATATACTTCCTCCGTTCCTTTTTAATTGCAACAGTCAACATTTCACGTTTGCCAACGCACAAGTTTGACCATTAATATTTTTCATTCTTTATTAGTAAAAAACTTAAAAAATTCATATTTTGAAATTTTAGAATGAGAAGAATTTAATAATATTTTTTTAAAAATTTAATTTATTATACATCAATTAATAAAATGTAGTCAAAGTAGAACATGTGAATAGTGCAAAAAGTCCAATGTTGCAACTAAAAGAGAACGGAGGTAGTATTATATATAAATACTTTTAATCTGTAAAAAGTATGTTGATATTTTAAACTTTGGCCTCTGCAATGTAAAATTGTTAAGGACCGACCCCTTTAACCCTAAATGTCTGGCTCCGCCACTGCGTTTAGTCATGTTACCATCATTACACCATAATAATATATTTTATATGGAATAAAATTTTACGATTATCATATTGCAAAAAAAAAATTACGATTATCATACGATAATCATATATGCACAATTGAAAAAATTACGATTATCAGACGTATTGCAAAGTATATTCATATATGCACAATTGAAGATGCGATTAAGCTAATCTGATCACTGACTCACTTTCTTTTATGAAGAGTCTTGAATTCAATATTACATGGAATAAACTTGATCCCAACTTACTCCGGGTTCCCTCCTCCGACCTCCTTCGGGTAAAAAATGCTTTCCATCACTTTCAAATTCATGAGTTTGACATCGATGGTAGAATTTATTTCAATTTAGACTTTATAAAGATTTTTTATTGTCATGCACATAGTGGGAGTTTAGGTTGGATTATACGGAGTATAACTTATTTTATTATTGGAATTTGCCGTTCGGGTTATTCTTGATTTAATCAACACTAGAAACTACAAAATTGGGTTAACCCTTGAGATGAAAAATTTAATGACTTTAGATAAATCATCACGAGTTCAGACACGACTTCTAATTAGGATGTTTTCTTCTAGATCAGACCAGACTAGATAAAATCATACGAAGTACTTCTTTAGTTATAAAATACACAAATACCATACATATACCAAAAATCCGATTAATTCAAACCAGATCAGATCAATCAGACCAATAAATTTCAGTCTAAAAGAACATCATCATATCATATAATACTCAAAGTCAAAATCACCATTCTTATATAACGGTCCTATGGTGTAAAAAAAAACGGTCCTATAACGTCTTTGTATGTATACGGAAAATAAATTAAACTATATTCATACGTAAAGCATTACATCATGCGTACGCATACTATGGATCCACATCAAACTATATTCATTTTATTTTATCGTCCACTAAGAAGATTACATGTTGCTTAATGTTTAGAAAATGCTTTAAATGCAAAAATTAGATATTCAGTATTCTGAGATATATAATTTTCCAAAAAAAATTAACAGGATTAATCGACTTTAATTCCTCTTGGACTTGGATAAATCTTAGATGACACGGAGAGTTTAAAAAAAGTGATTTCATGTCTATAAAGATTGCACATATATAAAAAAAAAGATTGCACATATTTGTTTCAACATATAACAAATGGCAATTTATACCGTACACCCGGGTGTATAGGTACACCCAGGTATTTTTGAAATTCTTTCTAATCTGTATTCTTCCCGTGGTCGTTCTTCCCTGCGCGCATCTGCGATCATTCCCAATTTTATTTGCACTGTGAATTTATCTTAGAAGCTTGAGCCTGATTATTAATATCATTGTTTCTGATAATGAAATACTCCGTAACTCCTTACACGCTAATGATTTCAGCCGCCACCAACTGTTTGAGATTCAATACAAAGCTCAAACTTCAAAATTAATCTTCTACCTCCACTTTCTCTAAAGCTCCAATGTCTCCTTCCATAATACTTCGTATTTGATACTCCGTAATTGATTTTGCATTTAATTATATGTGTGTAGGAAGCTATGTGAGTGGCCTATTAG